AGTATGCCTTCATTCTGCTTCCAAAATGTCATATGGCGCTATTCAGTCACGATCTTATTTATCAGCTAGGTCGAAAACTCGTACATAAAGAGTGGTCACGAAGAGTTGGTGACGAGGTCGTAAATACAACGACCGACGGTGCCATTCATAATGTTAGAAAGCAACAAATCATGCGTGGAATTGGTTCACCGATCAAAATGTGATTTTGTTGCTAGTTTGACTCAAAGAGTATCGTCGCAGTAGGCTGACTAATCGTAGACGCATTGTTAGGATATTACATGTGTTTTCACGAAAATAGAAACATCTATCAGTAATTACGCATTGATAAAACATTATAGACAAAAAAAGATGTTGGCACAAATGGACCATGGCGGTATAGGCCATGAGCATAAATAAAAGACAATGTGTAGAATGAGATAGAACTCACTTGGGGAAATCAGGGACACTAGCGCAAATCGAATCCCAAACCAAATCAAGGTGTTGAAGCAGCTGAGTTTGATTAAAGACTAGACTGCCTGGTTGTGCGACTCGTCCGCTGTTGAGCACAGCCAGACGTGAGAGACCACTGCCGGGAGGTGACTGCTCACAGCCACCGGTTGGCATCCGCTTCTTGGCGCAGTACTCCTGAATTATCAGAGTCGCTGCCGTTGATGTACCTTGACCGTCAGGAGCTAAGAGCGTACCTGATGCGAAACTGGACGGCGGCAGCTTGTCCGGATCCACTTCCCATGTCTCGGGACAGATCAGAATCCGTTGGATATAACGATACAATAGATTGTGGAGGTACTAAGCAAAAAAATTGCCACCAAAAAGTTAACATGCAAGTGGAATTAGAGTGAGTTACCTTCTAGTCAAACCTACAAGTCAGCCAATTTGATCAGGTTCTAGTAAGGTGCTATCGAGTTTAAATTAACATGGCCAAGCGCAAGACTCAAAAGGGAGTGGATAACGGTAATGACAACTCAAAATAAATCCCATTTATTCACAGTGATTCAATTAGGACAACGCGATTGTTTTGCCTTGTTCAGTGAATCCAGAGTCAGCTAAACGAGTTTGACATTCCATAAGCTAATCAACGTATCTGAAAAGTGGTCAAAACACTAGACTACTGTCGACCCGTTCGAGAGTGCAGTATACCCACTGCTGCTTTAAGGGAGAAGCAGAAAGTCAAAGTGAAACTAAAACTATTCAGATAAAATATAGTTCCCCTAGGCACAAAACTGGTCCTATGGTACATCAAAATTTCCATCCCAACAGCGCTACTAGAAGATCCTCCAGCCAAGGCAAAAAATTCTAGCAACGAACAATGTTTAATGGTCTTTCTTTGACGAGGTCTCGGGTATACAATATGGTTGCCAGACGAGGAAGCTAGCTAATTTCAGTGCCATTGACAACAAGATTATGAGCATGAGGGATCGAAAGTTTCTACTGTACAAATCCTGCTCCATCTTCCAAGTGCCCAGTAAGGGTGATATCGGTTTGAAAGTTGAACTGAATACTAGTTTAAGGAATGATTCAAGACAACACCAAGGATCCATCTTAGAAACAACGATTAATTGAAACATCTAATGTTGATAAGGCTCACCTCTTTTCCAACAAGTTTGATGTAACTTTCCACAGCCTTGGTGGCCATTGTATTCGATCGAAAGGTCATCGACTCATTTTCTGAAACAAAACAGATTTTTGGCTGCAAAAAGGGGCGCAGAAGTATGTTGAGTTTTGCAATCAGCGAGGGTACAGGAAATTTCGATTACTTAATGTACAATGGAATTTAGTATCGAAAAATGGACAATCAGGCCCGCTTAATTGTAATGAACAATAGATCACTCATAATTAAATGTGGTTTTAAGATAAAAAAAATCAAAATCTCTTCATAAAACGGCTACGTGATAGGACTTCGATTCAATTCGCAGCTTTGACGCTTATGTATTTCTTGACAATGCGCAAGAGTCAAAGCGTGCCCCTAGCTTATACCCGAAACATCACCACATAAACTCGAATAATAGCTATGCTAAATTATCGTTTTAAAATAAAAGAAAAGAAGGGACGTATTGTGCATGTCACCGCACCTAAAAACTGTAAGATCTGAAGCTTTGCTTAGGCTCGGAAGCAACAAGAGATGGGTCAGTTTGACCAAAAGTAAGGGTCAAGACTATAGACGTTCTAACATACTGCAGACCGAAGTGGGAAGGGCACGCTCCGTAGTGGAGGTTAAATCAGATTACACGGCGAGTGATAAGTTGGCATTTGACAGAGAACTGCTAAACGTAATTCAACGCAGTAGTTGGCGATAAAATAACCCCCCATTCGAGTGGTTAAATTTGGAAACAAAATGTCATAGTCGGCAGCTAATGCCCGCACTTCGATCTGATGATGGATTCGTTGAAGAGATGTTTAAGTGCGCTTTGAGAAGTCGGAATCTTGAGTTAATGTACAATAAAGCTAACACAAAGCGTGCCAAATCTATAATTAATTTGACAAAAATAAGAATTCTCCTCAAGATTTCGAAAAGTTGCCATCGTTCTGCATTACAATCAAAACGCGAACAATGGAAGCTACGCCTCTTTATCTGAAGGCTCCCTCCTAAGCGCTACAAGTTTCTATGACCGGCTGTACACTAAACTTCACCTCTAGTTACGGCAAAGAGCACCTTGCCTTCATCGGCTGTGCCTTAGAGGTCTGTCAATTAAACTCGCTCAACGGATTAAAGCCACAGAAAAAGACATGGGGAGCAGCCACAACCTAAGCAAAAATAATTTACCGCTCCTCCATCCGTAATGATTATGGTGTACATTTTCGGTGCGACGAACATAAATCAACGAACCTTTTTACTGTTAGCCTAACGTCTAGGGGGTTATTTTGCAAAGACTGAAGGAATGAGAAAAAATACGGTGACTATGGTGGCAGAAGTTGTCAAATCAAAGTTGAGGTGGAATCCACATCCCTTATGTTTGGAGACAAGAATGTTAAAAATGGGACCAAATTAGATTTAAAAGACAGATTCCATCCCATTTGCTGATAATCAACCGTAAGCAGAAAGACTTTTGGCTTTGAACAGGAATAGCAACAACAACATCCGTTAGTTCAGCTCCAATGAGCCCATGAAAGAGGAACATTGATGGTTATGAGGCAGACACCGTTTCATTCAATAAGTAATTGAAGAAATTGCCTAAAATTCGCGGAGATGAAACAAATAATTTGTTTAGGAACATTGGAAGCTTTGCAATACTTCTTTCATTAAACCATTAACGCATTGTATTAGAGATCAGTTGCGATGTCTGCTTTTAAGCCGAAGTTGAGCTTTTCACCCATTCAGGTAACAGGGGATCCAATCAGCATTGCGACTGAGTTCCAAGTAGGTCATTTTAACAAAATGGTTAGTCGCTACTAAAGTTACTAATTCAGACTTTCTCACCAAGGTTGGAGACCTCTCGAACCACAAGTTCCGTCAGGAAGGAAGCAGCTGTTCCACTACGTTCGTGTAGGTTCACAAAGCAGGAGGCGACTTCCTCTTTCAGTTTCAACGGTATCAGGTGCTCAAACCATTCAGTAAACTCGAGTCCATTCCTGCGAACGAGCTAAAGAAAATGTAAATCAAAGAATACAGCAATATTTTGAATTCAGAAACAACTTAAATGAACAATAGTCTCGGGATCACGTATTTAAGTTAGCTAACTGCATAAAATGTCTAATGGTTCAACCGATATAGAAAAGATATTTACAAAAGCGGGAAGACACGGTTAAATTAAAAGTGCAAAAAACTGCGTATTCAGCTTTGCGCTTGGAAAAGGGACGATAGTCTGCCATGAGGGACCATCTTTTACCATTATATCCGTAAAGTCACAACTCAAAGGCCAAAGTTTCTTCCCCATCATACACTTACGTACACGGATCATAGGTTGGACAAGAAACATTCAACAGGGCTTACTTCTCCGATCACAACAACGTTTATAGCAAGAGAAAAGTTCGTTCCGATCCGACCCAGTCCAAAAATGTATGCGATAAAAAGGAATTTGAACTAAACGCAATGATGACTCCCTCATTGGAATTCGATTCTGCAGGACCAAAAGATCTTGAATGTAAACATTTACATTTTGGATCCCAATGGCATCTTTGCACAAATCTCGCCACGGCTTAAGTGAAATACTTAGCAGTTCGCAAATAACTTTCAAATAAATATGTGTAAAATATCAGAGAACTTGCCCAAAGAAAATACTTCAATAACTTTTGTGAACTAACTTTTACAAAAAGAGGTTTAGACTTCGAGCTGAAATATACGCATTCATTATGCTGTAGAAAATGATGAAACGTCATTTCAGGCGGAAATAACAAGGCGGCATCTGGCATTGTGTGCACCAGTATGGGGCAACTATAAACAGTCCCTCTTGACAGTAACAATACTGTGCTGTTGAAAAAAGGTTCGGCGAAAAGCATAATCAGCCTATTGTCTACAAAAGTGATATCCAAACAGTTCGATGGGATAAAAGTAGGAAGGAGAGAGAGGTGATTAGCTCTTGATCTTTACATGATCGCTAAATTGCGGACAACCACGAGGTTCATATTAGAGCAAGCTGCTATTGCATCAAAGTTGCACACTCTTCCCTGCATTTCGAATTACAGAGGACAGCAGAACACATGTTGGAGCAACGACGATGATTTGTGGCAAAAAATTCCACTAATTCTTACGCATCAAAGAGGGAACACGTTGCTTTTTTATTAAGGAGGGGTAGGAGGGGGACAAAGGTTTCTGCAAGAACGGGGCATTGAGCATTTTAAACATTTTTTAAAGTGTGCTATTCTGTGTCGCTAACAACACCTTACCTTGTGCCATTGCTTAACTGAATCAGTGCGCTCAAATAGTGAGGTTGTAGCATTTGCATTAGTATTTCATGAATTTGGATACCGAATGTAGCCAACCCGTTCTCATTAACAGACGCACACAAACGATCAGGATCTCCAAACTAGTCAAAATGGCTTTGTTTACAGCGATGGTGACTGGAGTCAAGAGCAAGTGATTGAAAAGGTCAACATGAATGATGGTCTATAAACCATAAGCCTTGCATGTTCACACATGCAAAAGAAGGCAAGAGAATGGCGTGCAACACTGCTAAAGTACTTCGAGTGCTTGACCGTGGAACCACCACAAATTTTGTGCCATATCATGATCTGTTGCTCATTCAGTCCTTACGTAATACAGTGAAAAGAGTAAACGTGCACTTTGGAAGGAACTAAGTTGGTGGAGGTAGATCCGTGTTGGTAACAGACATTACATGTACGAAAATAAGATCATTTGTACTCGCAACAGCAACAGCGTGTCTGCGAAAAATTATTAGGTGTAGTACCACTTTTTTCCCATGCTCAATGAACGCTTAAGCGTTATGGCTCTCGGCTTTGCCCTTCTCGTTCACTTGCAAGCCTTGGAGTGCGAGCCAACCTGGGCAGGCTTGCCCACGCCCAGGCGCGGTAAATCATCCGTGCACACCTGCGAATGGGGGAGAAAGAATTCACACACGACAGTAGACATGGAACAACTTGGCAAACTGCAGAGTTGAAGAATAGGCTAGGTGTCGGAGAGAAGATGATGATGGCATCAGCGTAAAATTCTAAAGTTATTAAATCCACGCAACTTTATGGTGAAGCGTGCCCAGCATTTACCAGCACTATGGCTTAGAGAACTTGTCGAGGTAATGTCGCGAGTAGGCGTGGGAGAGGTTTCAGTCGAATGCAACCACTTTGTCAGTTGATAGGTGAAAGGCACTATTATCGGTATACTAACGAACTACCTTGTATAAATTTGAGGTTTCCATTATCTCTTAAGAATAACAACCAAAAGAGCATCAAATGCCCCAGCCAAAGTCAAGAAAATGTGGATCAATTCAAAGATTCTAAATCGGAACTTCAAATCTCTTTCTGGAAATAATATGTAAAGCAAAACCAACTGCGGTCACGCCCCACATTATCCCTGCAATACCTGAAACCCGACGACAATCTACACTTAACTGACCCATTCTACGCAATATGGCAGTGTTGCACAGATGTGGCTTTTAACGAGTATTTAACATTTACTACATATTTGGTTTTCAAAATAATCTCGAGGTGGTCAAGCTGGTCAGACAGTCATTCAACTGGCCTCATAAATTGGATAAAATCGCCAAATACATATATCACTTCAGGATAGTGCTCTTCACGTAATAGAGCAAAATTTGGTTACGCTTGAAAGGCATACTGGTAGACACTGAGAGCGAAAAAAATGTGCACGTGTGCCTTGTCTGTTAAAGTTGTTCATCTCAAAACTAGGCCTCGGACGGACGATGTGTTTTGCGACGACACGGAGAAATTTTGATCCTCCGTTAAAAAGGGGTGTAGATGTGACAGCGTTGTACTTTGATAACAAAACGAACGTAAATAGGCGTATATACCGTGTGGAGAGGATGGTAGGCGCAGATGGGGAGAACATCGACGGATTTATATCGAACGGAGACACGTAACTGTATTCCAGTGCCTCCACTCGCGTTGTAGGCGCTTGCGGAGGAAACAAAATTAGTTGAGATAGTGCCATTACTGTCTCCGATTTCACCGGGAGTGAGGAGGGTCGGATTCATGGAATCGGCATTTGCGGGCGGCTGCAGGGTGAGCCACGTCTGTGTGGGGTTTCGCGTGCACACTTTCGTTACGGGAAGAGTAACAAAACCTAGAAGGATAGGCAGTGTGGCTATACAAACACTGACATTTAAATTTTGTTTACTCAGTACGATCCCCGTGATGAGACAATGCGCGCGAAATTCGCAACTACAGTTTTTGTCATGGTGATGTCAAAATAACACTGATTTGGTTGTCGCAGACTCATTGCACCATGAAGCTGTAAAATGTGTCGTAGATCCACTCGGCGGTTTCGCAAATAAACAAAAAGCTGTTTCAAAAGGTCAGTGTAACCGAAAGGTCAACGGTAATCCAGGCCATTAAAGCACAAAACGAATAAACAAAGGGCAAATAATATTCGATATTTTAATTGAATTTGATTGTCTGGGAAGTAGAAAATGGGAGCATCTGCATTTGAAAGCCCCAAGCTAACAAGAAATATGCATGAAATCTTGATAAAACCAAGTTTACGAATGTACAGCCCAAATAATTACAGTTTCTAAGAAGGAAATACGTGTTAAAGATGAAAAAACTGTAGAATCAAGGTTCTAGATTTGTTGTCAAACAGAAGGTAGGATGCTGAATGACTTACGAAAAGGTGTGAAAAGTGTGAGAGGCCCTCCCTAAATAGGTGTTGCCTGTGGATTATGCAAACGGAAATCGAGCCTTAAGGCATAAGATAAACATTGCATATCACTTTTATGTATGGATATGAGGCGCAGCTATGGTTAAACTGCGTACTTTGACCTTATTGCGCAAAGTTCAACTTGAACCACTTTTGATCAGTTGGAGGTTTGGATGGTAAATAAAGTTATGCCAATAAGAACATTGCATGAGAAGTCTCTAGGTGAAGAGAAACCACCTAGTCATGCAAACCATTAGCCAAAGGTAATGCCCCATTATTGGCCTTTTTATAGACTCGACGGTCAGAATTTTGCTCAATTTTCTCAGTTCGCTAAAGTCAGATAGAAACTGCTTGAAAATGGGATGCAACTAAGTAGTAAAGAGTAAACGTCGAAAACTACAGCTTCTTTTACCATGCAGGACAATTAATTGCTTTAAGTTAATGAATGTTAGAGTACACACTCCCTTTAAGCATTAGGCACAAGAAAATGTTCTTCGAGCTCTGACTGTGTGCGTAAGCCAGTAGTTACTTTTTAAGCCTGTGACAAGGTAAGGAATGTCCAGCAGCCAAACAAAAGAAATGAGACCCTCTTCGATAGGGAAGTGCCTTCGCATCAGTAGAAGGCAGCCTTGAAAAACAGTGCTCTGTCGGGAAAACTTGTCGAACAGATGAGCTGCAGCCTATGATGAACAAAAATAAAATAGGCTCGAATAACAGGTGTTCACACGGAGACTCAACCCCGTTTAAATAAGCGCTGGTGAATTTAAAGAAGTAAGGAATTAGAACTAATGTTACTTGAGTTGTGCATCAATGCACAAAAACTAGTCCTAAATTACTCGTTTCGTAAAGCTGTTTAGCAGATTTTTCGTTAAACTTTGAACGAAAATACTACCAGACAGGATTAAAAGGATTTGCTAAGGCCATGCCATAATCTGTACTTTGTCTCCGAGATACTCATGGAGCGGTTGCGGCAGCAGAAAGCAGATTGCCAAACAGACCCGCAGATAATCCTTGGGAAAAATTAACCTACTTCTTCGTCATTCTTGGGAAGCTCAGTACTCTAAAGCTTGGAATCTTTCTAACTCCGCACTCCTCTCATCAGTCAATTAACTAAAATAAAAGAAGTTATGCACCATCATCGTTCGAGTGAGAAAATGTTATTTGTAGGGCACAAAAGACAAGGGAAAAAGGCTAAGCAAGAAAACTATTTTACAGAGCGATAAGAAGGTACATTTAAGCGTGAGATTTCCTTCACCCACTGGGCTTACCTATCCAGCGAGACGGAGAACTTCCAACCTCCATTATTCAAACGTTTATTAACTTATTAAACAGTTATGCCACATCCTTCGGCTCCCTAAAAATCGAGATTGCTGTGACGTAGCCTCGCATTCTATGCAAGTAGCTGTGCAAATCAAAAAGTAGCACAGATAAAATCAAGTGTATAAATAATGTTTGCTTATTCAAAATAAGCAGAGGTATAGGTGGTGGTGTCTTTCAAATCTTTGGAGTGTAATTTGAAACCAAGACATTTGCTTGACTGCTTAACCCTTGTCTGCTTGTCTAACAAATTTAGTAATGCTGATTACATTGCTCACATGAAGTCAAAAAGGTCTCTGAGGCTCCACAATTGCAGCGCGAAAATATAGTTTAATTGGCACGAACCAAAACATTGCGGAGCCCAACAAATACTGCGAGCCAGAAGTCAGACGATCATTAGAGACAGAACTCCTAATGCGGATAGATATTTTGCTGATCTGGCACGCGATATTCCAGCCATCATGAACACTACCTGAACTAACTTTGAAAATACTCTCTTTTAGTTAAAAATGGGAAATAATTGTTATAAATATACAAACCTATGCAGTGGACGAACAAAGGCTCCAACCCAAATAGCGATTGCGTTGGTCACAATAAAACCATTGTTATAAGTTGGCTGTTTGTTGAGATCTCAGGTCTCGTAAAAGAGCCACTCAAGTGCCTAGTCTTTGCGACTTCGCCGAGTAAGTTAACATCCAGAACGGAACATGTGTCACTCTTTTCAAGGATTACTTCATTCACCGTCTTCAGAGAAGCCAAAACCCAACTTGTTTTAATTTAATGCAGTGCAAATAAGGCCGAATTTTAAGATGAGTGGAATATCATTCAACGAAACACATATCCACACATTTTCATGCCTCGAAGGTTACAATACCTCCACTTTCAATCGCCGGATCGACACTTCTATCAGAAAATGGCACATTCATAGCAACGATTTTAGCACCCTTTTTTGCCATACTCTCTAGAGTTATTTCACCTCGGCCAAATGAAAGGCAATCTATAAATCTATAAATGAATCAGGAATTGTCCTAGGCTGTATCGCGGTAGATTTACACAATGAGCCAACGCGATAATAAGCCACCTCTTACCTTTGCGGCAGCGGTCATTTTGAGAGTACTGCAGTTTCTATGGCTTCAGTCAATTTAATCATTCAGCCTAAGATGCACACACGACATGAATGTGAAGCCAAACCCCTTAGGTTAAAGCATTCACTTACTAAGCATCATGAGCTTAGAGTAGCGGACGGCGTAGTTTCAGTGAAAAAAAATCTTTCAACCTTTTGGAGGTTCATACCGCCATGGCAATTGAAACAGAAATCAAGGCCAAACTACGGTCTCAAGATAAATTGCCACCGATATGGGAAGTAATCAGAGATAAGATTCTTAGATTTTAAGTTTAACAATACAACCGCGTTATTTTAGCTTGCTCCAATTACCCATTTCCTTAAAGTAGCTCACAAGAGAACTGGAAAGTCCCAAAGTTATGATTAGCACTTACCGATGAGACGATTTTGGAACTTTTTTGAAGCTTTTTTACTGTTGGACCTAACAAGCAGACCCCTCCTCCCATCCTTTGTCCCGCCTTCGGCTTCACGATAGAGACTCATAGTGAGAATCGAAACGTCTGGTATGTTGCTGTAACAAAAAATGACATGCAAGTTCACAGTATATCAAACCTGGACAACTTGGAGACTGTTCAAAGAACACAAGCGGCAAACTATCTACTTTTTTGTTACAATGGACGCATATACTCATGTTTATGAGGGAGAACGTCTGCCCCACTGCGGCCATCATATACTTTAATTATTTCAAGCAAACGGGAACACGTGACAAGAGTAAGCACGTGTGAAAACTACTTTATTTATATGAACTTTGATAACTTCACCGGAGTCCAGGTCTCGTAGTGACAACCAACTAGAGTGTGCAGTAAAAGTAAGCAGTCACATAATTTTAAATTCCTTGTATTTACACTCTACCGGTGCGGTGAGTTCAGCAATCAGAAATAAAATTTGGAATAACAAGATCTGTACTAAATATGTGCAACGCCCACTCGGCGAAACAAATTTTACGTGCTTTGGAGATGTGGCGAGACGTGTGGTGCGGAGCAAATAACCGTAAGCAATTCAACACACGATTTACGGCGGCACATCAAGAGAATGGGTCATTTTAACTTCCAGCACGCGTTTTCATGCACTGTCAGCACATAAAACTGACCTCCTGACAATGGTGAGGGGGAAGGAGAGCTGTCTTTAAGCGAATAACTAATTTTGCTCACTTGAGAAAATGTCTTTTAACCAACTTCACAGTCCCAACATGAAGCCATAATTTCCTCCAAAAATGAAATAGTAATTTTGGTGAAATTGAAACTACTTCAGATTCAGTTGAAATGCTTTCAAAACAGTTGAACTGTGCATCAACCAATATTTGCCGACTTTTAATTGCTTAAAATTGGCCCAGCAGCTGGAATTATCCTTCAGGCATTTGTGGTAGAACAAGATAAGGAAATTTTCCCAGATTTCAAAGTATTGCTAAAAAAGGCAAAAACCTTTAAAATCGTTCATGAAACACTGAATGCTACCTATCAAAGCCTCCTCGATTAAAGCGATACTAGAACAACACAGAGGATGGGACAACAAATACGCACCAAGGTCCTTGAAGAACATGGCACATCTGCCGGTTGGACCTGGCATGGGATGTTATAGTTAGACTGAGGCACTGGTCATGGAAGGAATTTACGCATAATGCAGTATAGATGGCCTGTAGACGAAGTGGCAGTTTGACAATTATAGTTTAAAATACTTGCGCAGTAGGATATGTCGTATTAATTAAGCAGCTCTGACGGGACTCTTAGTGCAAACATTATGTCACTTGTTTACACAAACTTTAATTAATTTCTTTTCCCAACCTTGGCGACTTTTAAAAGAAGTTACCCTCCTATCATTGGACCTGGTTTGTGCATCCGTTAACTGTACTTAGACGGTTACCAATAAAATGAGATAGTAGCAGTTGGAAAGAAACAAAGAGTCTAAGAATAGGTTTTAGAGGTGGTGTGGATCCTAAAAAACGAACAACAGAAAGGTTAATTGGCGAATAAATATAAAAGTGGATCGTTGGGGACTTATTTGCGTTTTGACGGCAGCCGCTCCGGAAATGACAAGCAATTTGACCGGCTCTTGGAGCAGCCATCTGTTGCATGAATCGTAAGCCGGCATTATAACCTAATAAAGACGCGCTCAATTAATCTTTCCTTCTTCCACTTCGGTACAGAACAAATGTGCTAAACGATTGCAGTTTGTTGTTGAACTAACCGGCTAGGGGGTTCAAGACTTAAAAGTGTTCAAATCTTCTGTAAATGTGGACTGACTGGTAAATGGAACACGGCAAATGTTGCATAAAAGGCAACATTTGTTTGGACTTTGAAGACAGTTTAGCACTCACGTGCAAACGAACAAAGTGAGAGCGAAGTGCTTGAAAAACGCGGTGTGATAGCCCACGCAAACGTAAAAGATGGGCGGTAGTGTAAACAAAGGATGGAGATGAAGCTCGCGAATTTCCATATTGAAAGAATATCTTCAAACGTGGTTATGAAGGTTATTGCCTCTACACGAGTCAACAAGAACTGCTTTAAATAATCGCACAGGCAGACATTTAAAATAAAGCATAAAAAATCACCCAGCCCGAATGAAAATGTTACTGCATAACTTAGGTAAAGGTACCAAACGCCGTGACCAATCGCGAATGTGACTGCAGTCTTTCGAACTAAACAAAATGCTTGTGCTTCAAATGAAGGCGGAATTAAAATGCGGGAGCGAATGCGCGGAAAATGTCAAATAAGCATATGGACAAAAAATTGCACAGTACTTTTGGACTGCTATTGTTAACTGCTAAGAGTTAATTCTCTCAAAAGCACAAATGCGAGAGTCAGTTCGACACAACTTTAAGCTCTTAACAATAAACACCTCAAGAAAGTTGCCATAAAAGTATTCTATTATTAATGTACTGCTTCTTCTGCGTGGAACGGTTGCTCGCAGAATTGTGTACCGCCATCCATTAAAACTAAAAGAGCGCCAACTCAAGCCAGCCGAGATAAGGACTCCCAAATTGCAGTCACAAAGTGTTGGTGCACAACATCGTAAACCCCACTTCTTCTGCGATTGGCCTGTTGGTTACGAGTCTCATTCAAAAGTGTTTCGTGCTTTCGTGCTGATCCTTCCTTATTGCTGTAGACGACAAGAATGACTGGAACATGCACTAATATGGCCCTTCTATCACAATTCGATCTAAAAGGATTCCTAGTGCTGAAACGCTTGAACCGGTAAATTGTTATGCCTCCAAAAATGTTTTACAAGAACCTAAAATAAGTGGAATGGAATGTTATAAATGATCGGGAGCGCGGAGTTGATAGAAATGCAGGTATAATCCACTCTCTCGGCTCGGCCCAAGGCGGATAAGGGGAGTTGGTGCTTTCGACATTTGCAGCGATGTTGCTGCTTTTAACCGTTCATATGAATAAATTAAAGGCACTGAGAATTTCATGACGCCCAACCTGCTGCACTCAGAAGAATGCAACATAAAGTCTGGCAGAAGAATAAGTAGTGCTGCACCTATTTGACGTTTAATGAGAAAAGGATGAGCTCCTCACTTACCGTTTGGAAACAATTGTACCATCTACTCTGACTTATGAAACGTATTTACGGCTGCTGCCTCTTTATTAAACATTAACAAATTGGCTGAGCTACAAAGGTCCGATTTAAGTACTTCCAATTTAGCAAGCAACGAAACCGGGACTTTTAAATAAGACACTTTTTGAGTGGCGGAAGAGTGAGGTAAACAGTGTTAGCTGTTTTTCCACACACGAGCGAATTTTAAGCACTGCTATGTTTAGTAAATAGGAAAGATTTGTGCTCAAAAATTTAATGAATAAAGCAAAAGCACTGCTGCTAAGGTAATCTAAAGTTAAAGTTTTGGGAAGAACATTGCTACTCCTATGTGAAGCTGAGGGTACTCACTTTAGGTCGAATTCCTCTGCCCAAAAGATGCTATTTCCAAAGCATTGTTTACTGGTTGTTCTTGCGTAAAGCGTTCGGTCTAGACAAATATCACAGTAGTATCTAAAAGTATAAAAAAGCAGGAGAAAAGGTATAACAACTAAATAAAACCTCTTCGTGTTTGTGTGAGAACTGAGATATCAGCTAAGTAAGCCGCCGTAACCAACTTAACTGTTGCTAATGATAACATAAGGCAAAAGATGAGCTGTCCAAGGATCAAAAGTTCTAGACTGCCCACCTGAACCTACGCGCTTATGAGCCTTAAGTTTTGTGGCCAAATTGCATTTGAACGTGTTAATTTAGTGTTTGCTGTAACATCAGATCCTGCACTGATTCTGATTTCATATGCAGCTTGGACTAAGGCTGCGTGGACGATGTCCACCACTTCTAGTCAATTGGACGTTGTGCATGGACAGTACGCGGTATTGCACATCGCTCTACACCAAACCATGACCTTACAACGACGACGCTCTTCCCTCATATTTTTCCTCCAGGGTTTTAGACAGCCGTTTTAACGCACTCGCAATGGTTGGAAACAGTGGGGTAAAAAGTGAATAAAAAACAGCATGGAATGGATACCAAGGCTTAAAAATGCAATCAAGGCAGCTGTTCCACTCTACAAATGAAGCGGATGTGTAAAAGATGTGGTTTTTTATTGAGGCCAAGAAAATGAATTATTACGGCCACAGCAGCGACGAATGTGCTGATATAATAGTAAACCAAGGAGGCCTTCAAAACAAAGTAATTACCTTGTGTTTAGGTGAGTTTAATAAATGCATTTTAGCAGTCGAAAATACAGGGTCATGGAAACGCACAAAAAGATTTAATCGTTCATCAAACTCGTTGTGCAAACAGTTATTGTTGAAATCTTCATCATGTTTTGCGAGACCGAACGCTGGAGAGGAAAACAGCAGGGAGGATTAGGGTAGTGGAGCAAAATGTTCTCATGAAAACGCAAAGCTTCATCCAACCAAATAAAGAATGCACAGTGTTTATGAAAATTCATACTTGGATCAAAGTGAATCCAGCAGATAGTTAGTTATTATCAATAACGCACAGAGTCTGGAGCATCTTTGGCCAATTTGGACGTTTGAGGAGCAAGTTCAGACATTCCGAAAGTCGAATTTACTTTACGAAACAGTTAGTGCTTGTGTCATGGCAGATACAGTTAAGATGGGCGTTAATTAAGGTAGGGAATAAAAGCCCCCGAAAGAAATAAGACCAACTGGACAGAAATTAGTGGAACATCGACTTTATTCCTCAATATGGTGGCAAACGAAACCACATATTGCCGATGAAGAGAATAATATTACAGAGAATTAAACACTAAAGAAGCACTAACATTTGTGCATGACAGTGGGAGCTGGTGGGAAAATGGGGAAGGGAACCACCACTAACCTAGAGCATGAGTCACGGTTGTGTTAAAGTGTTGCAGAGGCAGGCGCTTCCACAGATGTCGCTCTGCTGCCGAACCAGATTGGGGCCAAGTGAGTCATGCGCGACAAAAGGATACAGTGCTACGAAATTAACATCGCTCCGTTCAACACACATATCCAACACCACAAATGCCGACAGCAACACAAACAATCCACAATGCATGTACACGGATGTGTTTACACAGGTGAAGTCTGTCTGCATAGCAAAAGGTGAACCCAAAGCCCATCTCAATCAAACTCGGCAGATAATTCACAATGATTATATTTCAACACCTGGTAGGCTCTTTGGCAAAAGAGGTCCCGAATACATTCGCGTTACAAACGATTAGAAGTGAGTTGTGGACATCAGAAAAACTACAAACAGAAGATATTATCAGGTATTGAAAGCATTTTCTCTCTCTAACTATCCACACTGTAATTCTTCCTGAACTCAGTTGGGTCCACTTCCAGATCTATTTGATTAAGAAAGCGAAGCGTATAGCATCAAGATCCTCCTAAAGCTTAAGGCAAGCATCATCACGACTTCACAAAGCTGTTTGTAACGGGATAAAGAAAATTCAAGCCTTCTTGAAAGCACAGCAACTGTTGGTGGGCGGGGTAAAACTTTCACCAACCCCTAAGAATCACAAACATTTACAAAACAGCCTTTTCACACAAGAATGATTAATATCAACGCCGAAATTACTTTCTAGGCCGCTTCCATTTCGGCACTAGGTGGAGGATAAGACCATCAAACGACGACTGCAGCATATGTAGCTGCTAAAGCAACTGTTGAAGCTCCGAAACAGCAACTTTTGCACAGGAACTGAGGAGTTAAGTGATAATAGTCTACGAGTAAATGTAGCTTGCAGAAAGATCCAGGGAATTTGTATGAACCATAGGCTTTGCAATTGGTCCACAAAATGAAGCTGAAATAGACTTGACAAATCTATGAAAATGGCTCGAGGGCATTTCATCCAACGAAAGAAATGATAAAATAGTGCTTAGGGTTCAAAATGGTAGCAATGACTTTGAACGACGCAATGTGAAGCCACAATGCATACACAAGTAGGTCAGATCCATTCGAATGACGCTTGGATTAGAAATATCAAGCCCTCCGCTGTGGACCGAGTTTGTGACAGGATCTTAGGTTGAACATGAAGGACACGTAGTAGCAAGCATGTAAAAATCATGGATGTACAGACAACTATTAATAAGCAGGCATCTGCTGCTTAGAGGAAGCAATATGTCTCGCCGCTAACATTACATTCAAAAGGGGGCAAAAGTGCAGAACTTTCGAGTAAGACTATCTTTCTGTCAATAGTTGGTTTGTGCACTGCACAAAATTCAATTTTCAACGGACCAGGTCGTGGTTTTTGTAAATTATGACAGAAAAACATGAGAAACTAAGGTAAGCAAGACCAAAGTACGACATGCGAAATACGATACTTCAGAACGGTAAAATTATGCATAATTTGTAGGACTCGGAATACGAATATTCATTTAGTGCATTTCCGAGGCAAAACAGCAGCATGTTTTTGCGAAACCACCTCAAAATGCATTTTAGTTACGGATCATTAAAAAATTTGGAGGCTCAACTGGAGCGTCGCAAAGGTGTAGCACGCTGCGTGCGCCACACAGTTCGAAAGCCTTATTTCGTAAGGGAAGACTGGTGGTGACGATCTTAATTAATAAAATGACCTCAGGGGAATTTCGAGGTTTGTGCTGCAAGTTACACGTGAATGGGGATGTTCTAGCCAAATAACTATCGAGGCATGCTAGGCAGCCAAAAAATCAGTTGAAATGGTGGTGATAACTCTACATACTCACCTTTTCTTGTTGTGAAGACCTTTTGCCTCAAGGATGGAAAGGAAAAGAGAATTTTCGCGATGTCTTTCGTTCTCGAGATTGGGTTTCGCCGTTCTTCGCAAGCTAAAAGGAAAGATTTAAAAAAAAACTGTAACTATATGCATGCATCCTGCTAAATGAGATTTTCCTTTACACTGCTTCGATTTGCCCAAAATACGTGCCTTTGGATCGGTGAGGAATGCTAAATCAAAGAAACACTTGAAAACCCAGAGTGAATAACAGTAAGCCAAACTATAAGGTAGGTTAGCCTTACCCTTCTCACAGCATACATAGAGGGGTCAGGAAGGCCTTTTAAATGGAGGGATATGAATAATACAGGATTTGAGAAATGCAGAAATAAAGTTCAGTTAGTGCAACAGAGCTTAATTTTACAAACATAGAGGGAGAATAGGAATAGGTTGTTTGGCTTTGTCACCGGTCCTTCACCCCTATGATGCCACAAAGAACTTGTGCAAATTGATGACTTTGGGTGAAATTGATAATGATTTGGCGAAGAAAGTTTAACTACCGTATGCGGATATTTATAAACCAGTCTTGGGAGCACAAGAATTCCAGTTTAGTTACTCTATCAGTCCACTACTTTACATAACCAGCCAGGTAGTCAATGGCAAGTGGTTGAAAAAGGAAGAGAGAATCATTCCCTAGGTGTGGGACCCTAAGTAACACACAAATAAAGGGTTTAATCTTCCGTATGTAATTCAGAGAATTATTCTTTTTTTATTTAGCCAATGAGCGTACGAACCACGACTTCCACAGATAAACAAGCCACTGTACTACCTTGAATGGCAGAACGTTCCAATAAATGACCACGTTAAATTCAATTGAAAAATTAAGTGTGATGGTATTTAGTCAAGTTCAGAGAAGTAATCAAAAATCCACAGCCCAAATCCAAAGAATAAATAAACAAATAAAGTTCCAGAAGTTCAAATGTATCACTAGAAAGGTAAAATGATTTGGGGGTGCATAAAGAGAAGTTTTATTGAACGGCGACACACAGAATCTGATCCTGTTTTCTACAAAAAATTTGATATTTGATTCGTCGTGGATACAGCGAAGTCTAACACACTGGAAAACACAGCTCTTTGGCATATGGTTACGGGCGTGTTAAGGAGTACACACTCAAAAACTACGTCGTGTTAAAGGCGATTCGATAGCGAGGAGTTATTCACATTTGCTCTAAATTCCGTTCTGTAAAAAGCAACTCAACAAACTCCTTACTAGTAATGGCACAATTATACCATTGTGGGAATGCAATTTCTCGACTACGAGTCCGCACCCGCCAGTTGGGATATTGTGTCATTAAAAGCGAGGGGGTCAATTACCCCAGGGGTTTCGATGATGGGCGCTTTTCCCCGCACCCGTCCCGGAGCACAAGTGGACTGAGCCGAAAGGCATCAACCGTCTGTACATTTCCTCCGATCTCCACCACGTCCCCATGACCGCATCATGACCCTATGGCATGTGTAGAATCAGCAAACTTACTGAGGTCGCGTACCGGACTAAAGCGAGACAGTCAACCTTTCAGCGTACTTATGCCGGACGCCACTACAGAACGCATATGGTGACCATGCGAAAGCACCTGTGTTCGACGCTTAAGCGTTAAGTGAGGCCTTAACATTCCACTCCCTCCATCAACAGCGGATCACGGAGGAGTAAGTTATAATACGCGTGGCAGTTCATGTGTAAAGAATGGCAATGAAGCTCCCAGAAGTTCCCAATTCACAGGTTCGAGTAAGCATTTTATCGCGCATACCCAAATTTAAATTGACAGCGAAAACAGTAGCAGAAAATACTACTTCATCGTATGCATGCAGCTAAATGACACGCACAAAGTTCGGTTTTTTAACAGACATAAATGAAGTCATTTTATTGCAGCGATAAATTACAGTAGGTATGGCTAAACGACAAGTACAATAGATTTATACCATTTGTTGATTATGTTAAATCAACTTTAAAGGCAATTCATGGACATAAACTTTCTCTTGGTACGTGGTATTGTTCGACTTCGTGCCTACTTTACGAAATGGGAAACATCAAGCTGATGCACTGCATTGAAAGTATTGACTTGGTGTTGGCACTATATATTTGTAGGATCGGTGATCGCGTGCTTCGATGGTCCCTTTTAATTCAGTAGGTTACCTTGAATTCTCCCATTAATCGCAGCTCAAAGACACTTAGCCTATCTTATCAAGAGAACTATGTAAAATCGTTACATTTGTATTCAACATTCACCATCCACGGTGACACAAACACAACAGGGGTTGTGTGATTGGATTTAGAAATCAATAAAAATAAAGGACTACAGCAGCAGAGGAAACCGCTTGAATACCCGATAAGTCCCCAAACAGCAATCACCTAAGTTATACGAAGCACAAAATCAGAAATGAACTGGTTACTTCGAGCACGGGAATGAAAGCTAGCATAAAATCGCTTACGAAATTGACCCGACCCAGGGGTCGTTATATCTCTCTTCAAAATCTAGTAGAGCCGAGAACTGTTGTACATCCAGAGAACGAAGTTTTCTCAATGTACTATTGGTTGACTTGTGGTGGCTCAGGGATAGCAGACTTAATCCCGAGTAGTGGTGATGTTTCTTATGTGCGATTGGGAGAGACAGATTTCCATCCACAACTGATGACAACATGGTGCTGTCCTTTTTCCGCGTATGACTCGGGGGATATTCTTGGCTGGTGATTGAGGAGACAAGGCTATGCATGCTGGCGCTACTAGGTAGGTGGTGCGGCCTTCGGCTGGCGTATCGGAAATTTTGTTTCTCCCCTCCATCCCCTTTCCCGTCCGTCTCACGACTAGATAGGGTAGCCAACTGAGCTTCCAATGCAGCAGACATAACAGGTGCCTCAGGCAGGAGGGGATTAGAGGCTGACAGCTCATCCAGAGAACCAGCTGTTAAAATTGATGGAAGTCTCCATTCCCCTACTGCATCAGTCAAAGGTACTTCTTGTAATCGAGATGAGACATAATCATGAGGCTTTTGACTCGACGACGGCGGAGTTGATGCCTTTGAGCCACGGTGACAGAACAGCATGCTCTCTCACGAAACTCTAGCACAACATACCATGCTGAGTGCTGCGGTGATTAGCTGAGGGCGTGCAAGAACCCACACGTGTTTGTGGGTCTTGGTTATGACGCACGAACGAATGTGCACATATGTGGTTGGTGCGCACCAGCATCAAATAACCAATAGCCCAAAGGCCTCGCTCCAATTGGTTGGCTCAGAAGGCCAATCACAGCACTACTGTTTTTAGGTTATTTCGATACAAGCCGGGGTATTTGCAAGGAAGCTGTAACGTGTTAGCTTGCGAGGGCAGGCGCTGGTGATAGTCTACGGTTTCGCAAACAGCACTTTATCTGGCTCGTATTCAGGGTTACCAATTCGCTTGCTATCGTGGGCCTAATAAATGTGCACGACATTCAGCTCAAAGTCGGTTTAGAAGTTCTGCAGCATCGCGTATTACATTGAAAATAGCATTCTTTAGAAGTTGGCAAATGTGTGACGCGCTGATACTAGCTTTAGACAATAGGAGGTAGATGGGTGCGCAGACTATAAATCTGTATTACAAACGCTTTGATAAAGTCGGAACATACCCTCACCTCGGTTACCCAAAGAAAGGAACGTTCAGTGTACTCTTGGATTTCTGAAACTGAAAAGATGGCGTCGTATACTTTTATAGATAAGCTCACTTTACCCTGGTGCCGCAAGCTATTGACTTTCAAGTTCTGCCATCTTACCCAGGCAATGCTAAAGTCATCACCCCGATTAACATTAAAAAACTTGTTAGGAGTTGTCTTTAGAAACGGCTCGATAAAAATAGCCCGTGTCTAGTCCCAAGAACAACAATAAACACCGCCAATTTCCAACATTCTAACACAGACAATCACTTTGCCATATCTAAGATGAAGATAACCTCCACAAAGGGCTTTTATCTATCCTTTTATGAGGTTTATTGAATGGGCACTTGGAAGCCAAACACTGTGAAGGTAGTGGGGAATAGCATAGTATTATAGGCTCTGCATTTTTCATCTTTTGCTTGTAGCTTACATTCACTTTCTAATGTCCCAAGACGCCTTGCATTCATTCGACTAACTTTCAATTCCAACTTTGCAGAAACGTATGAATGGTCCAACACCCAAGAGTGTGTGATTAAATAATACCATGTTTCAGCCGCATTAAGTAACAAACACTTGCTTATTTCCGTACGATTATTCTAGAGCTCCTAGCCTAACACATTACGTCTATCCCTATGGGAAAGATGTGATGTGCCTTTGTTAGCTTTGAACAATAACGTTGACCTTTAGTGGAAAAAACAGGAAATTAATGAAAACGGGGGAAAATAGGACTTGCAAACACTGCAAAAATGGCAAATCTAGGGCAGTAATTGATACTTTTATTAGGTTTTCATTAGTCTTTCTTGATTAACATCATCACTTATAGTGACCGTTATACAGTAACTTCGGTAATGCTAGCGAACAGAAGGCTTATTTGTCCACAGGCAGGATTAAAATCACTTGCACAATATTTACGAATGCATTCCACGCCATAACGCGATCGCATCAATTATGCCACTGCTGCGTTCAAGTTCCCCGACAGTGGTAAAATACTTCTTCTTCAAAACAATAGGCGATAAAGCATCATTGGTGTCTCCATTGCATAAAAGCAGGTAAACAGGAATTTGTCACCTTTCCTCAACTTCACATCATTAGACCACAGTGATTTGGTCTTGGCTTGACGGCGGACTTGTTTATCACTTTTGGATGGAGTGCTGTTAATACTGTGTTTAGGCGGAGGAATCGGATTGTGTAAAAAATAACAAGGAACTGCATGAAGAATATACTTGGTCGCTTGATAAGCACTTTTCTTTGATTTAGGCAGCATAAATTTTGTGATTTGAGGGTTTCCGTTTCCTCGTAAAGCCATTAAAGCAATGATTCCGTTCAGCAGCCGGTTCGAAGGTGGCAGCTAAATTGTTTACTTTCGTGAATTTCTAAACTTTAGCTAATTTGTTACTATGAACGCGAATTGCACTGTAGAACAAAAATATAAGGATTGAAATAGATTAAAGGGTTAGAAATAGTTGCGGGAATTGAGATGTGGCAAAATGAGCAAAGTGAAATGCCTTTTGGGAGCTGCTAAATATTTTATTTAAAGTCTACTAGAGAGGTATATGCTTATTTGAGCAAATTTGTATTCAAAAACACAAGAATTTCGCTCTCAGAATTACGGAGATGGAATTATTGTATGCCGTCCATTACCGATTGCATGCCAATCTAGCCAAATTAAGCTCGTCACTTTTCCGCCTTAACTGTGGGAAGTCGGTGGGTGAGGGTCAGGAATGCGTTATCGGTAAGTCGAGACGACTACAAATGTGTGGCGCTAGCCTAACTTCGGGACCCTAAAAAAGCTGGGATTACGGTGAAAGCCGCCAGAAGATGTTCTAAGGTCAATGAAACTATAAAAGAGAGAGGACAGTCTGATTCCCACGAAAATGCTCTCAACATTGAAGAATTTGGGAGCATAAGAATCACATATATGGAAAAAGACGTCCACCTATTGTTATCATGCCACTTATCTATCTCCCGCGCCATCTAATTAATAGACTTACCAAAAAGGTAGCCAAAACCGAATCAAATTTGTCTAAACTTTAACCTGTTTAAAAGCCTTGTTAGCAAAGAAGTATGTGCTGTGTGATGCTTTGACCGTTGACAGCTACCGAACGACTTCACCGGCTGAGGGCAGTCAGAATAGTAGCTCCGAGGAAATAGGGTTCACGCAGGTTGAACTTCAAATTCGCATCTTAATGCCATAAACAAAAGCACTGCATAAAGGTTTCGTAACTACGCTTCGCATAGGTAAGTCCCCACGATACTTATTAAATAATTCTTTAGGATTTGTTAGCAATGCGTTATCTCTGAAAGGTCCCCAAGAGTAACCATAAACAACATTTTGAATTGTGTAGACATTTTCAGAAGAAGACGCACACTGAGGAATGTGTACTGCTGCCAAATTGAATGCAGCGAAAGAAGTGTGCCCTCTAACAGCAGTGATTCATCACCGTTCAAGGTAAAAGAACAAGCGCATCCGTGCTGCCGTAAGTTTGACGCTCTCAAACTCCCATTTGACTTGCTACTTGTCCATTCTTTTAACTTTGTTTTTACCTCATAATTGCAAATGTTGGATGACAGTGGAAATTTACCTTAACTTTAAGCTGCAGCAATCACAAATTATGGCAGATTTATAAAGGCCTGAAAGTAATGACCCTTTCAAAGCCAAAGTTTAAAACTTCCAAGCACTTTGGCGACATATTATAGCATCAATGAATAAGCACGTGGATTCACAGTGATCCATGTATTAGTCGTACCACCTTACCGAGAAGCCAGGAGTCATGGAGAATGTCTGTTAGGGATAGAGGTTGCAAACTTGAGGTGAAACCAAAATTTTTTAAAGAAAAGGACAACGGGTATGCGAATCACACATAACACTTTCCTCCAAATCGCACAGGCAATGGAGGAGCTACGCAGTACATACAAATTTCTTAATCGGCGCCAACAGAGCACGTATATATGGTTAGAGGAAATAAAAAAACGTAAACCAAAATAGTCATTGGTAGGTCTATTGTCTTAAGAGCAGGATAACTCAGATCGTTTTCCAAAAGGTAACTTTATCTGAATGCTTTAGGCTATTCTTGTAGAGTCCAATATTAATGCGGAGCGATGAATAATTTAAAGTGCAAGGTCAAGATTGGTGGTTAAATAGCAGCCAGCGTTACTCAGCAATTAACCCAAATTTTGATTATGCACCATATGAAATGCGATAGAACTGTGAATAAAAAGACTGAATCAACTGCATTCTTCAGGATACGAGGCATACCAGGTGAGCCAACAATCGCGTTCATCCTGAGATGCTGCAGCGAAGATATACGTCTCACCTGCCAACGTCTTGACGTAAAAGGAATGCCTCCGACCACCTAGAAGACTGGCCTGAAATCCTCCAAACTCTAAGCCTTGACTCTTGATGTTGATCTCGTGATTCCGTAGCTGGTGGCCTGCAGATTCATCGAGAGGTTGCCTCGAACGGGAGAGGAGCCGCCTCCGGAGAGCCAGCCTTCTCCGCAGCATTGCTGGCTCTGATGTTGTGATGTTTTTCACCTCATCAGCTGAGGCATTGGCGCAGCTCTTCTGTAAGCACACTGAATCAACCGTGGAGAGAGCACCAGTTGGATTTTCCCTGTGGGGCAAATTGCCAACGAACTATTTGCTACTTAAAGCATTTGATGATTAATCCAGAATACAGACACTATCGTTGCCCCTCGTAAAATCCCAAGGTTTTGGGTAAACGAACGGTTGATATTCATCGTTTTGAAGTATGCTACAAAGTACTATTCATTGTAAAGTGAAAAATTACTTGAGATCAAAATGGTGTTTACAACGTTTCAATGGTAGTTGGAAGATGTAAATAGGAAAGGCTCAATTGTCTTAGTCTCGCCAATGCACTTTTTGGTTGTTATGCGAATGCAAAGCAATATGCCTGAGGATTTACTAATGCCATTTGCGGATGCCCTCAGGCCCATTTAAATCCTACAAATTGAGTGTGAGAAAATAACTGATTTCTGTGTCAAAATTTGTAAAAGTTGATTGCAGATGCAATGATAATTTAGCACAAATCTGGTGTTCAGTGGAAATTTCGTGTTTTTAACTGGAATATGCATGCTTTGATAGGACACAGTCATCATTGCTTACCTATTGAAGACCTGCTCAGAATTTGTTCGCAGTGTGTTGGGTTTGCCGGTACGGATTTCATTAGCGGAGGGAATTTTGCATGACTGTTGAGTTGGAGCCTGTCGTGATCGCTCGTCTAGGAGAGAAGTCCACGAATCGCTCTCTTTCAAGTTGGTCGACGATGAGGAGTAGATATGCCCCAACGTTAGTGGTTGTGAAGGTGAGTGTGACTCGTCAAAGGCTTCTCTCTCATCCTCGAGAGGAGAATCGAAAGTTTTGGAGGATCGTTGAAAAAAACGTGAGAGTGAGAAACCACGCTTCGCAAGGGGTGCTCGCACTTTGCCATGTTTGTGTCTGCAAAACTTTGTTCTGGTATGCGAAACGCTGTTAAGCTCTCCTGGATGACTTGAAAACCCATTTTCGAAATCAAATGAATCAGTAGGCGTTTTCTCAACCAAGCATGCAGTGGATTTTGACCTAGAATTCAAAAGACACTGGTAGAAATTCTAATCTGTGCACACCTAATTGCCTTGCAAACAATTAACGTTCGGATGGTGCACAGCTTCGTTTTCACAGAACCACTTACCACAAGCAAAGCTACTTTTAAGCCTTTCTTGTTAAGGCGGAAAATAAAAGTTGGTCCATTTTTAATTTTCATTCATTCCTATGTTCCTGCTTTCCCAAGAAATTTATGCCTATTAAAATGCTGATAATAATGAGGCACTCTATAACACAACTACTTACTATATTTAGGTGATTAATAGCAGCAAGACGTCATGAACAGCGTTAATTTAGTTTTAACAATTACAACGTGAAACCAATGATCTAGTCGCTTAATCCTGCATTTTTTGAAGTGACAGTACTGGTTCCTCCTCGTCGAGACAGGCTGGCTAAAAGACAGCCGTAGTTGTTCCAGGCTCCTTCGTGTATTTCCAGGACAGTTTCAAGGCGTTGCTTTGGAGGCAACGGAAAGCGAACCTCGTCTTCAACCACACTTTTTCCTCATTTCTAGTTCCAAGTAATCAAACTTAGCAGGACAAAAGGATCGTTCATGCTGCTGGTGGACGACTCTGTGACCACCTCAGCAGAAGGCTACCTACCTCAGTTCTGCCGTTTATAGAGTGACCATCAGTCACTGAAGCGACACCAGAGTCAACTAACCTTCAATAGCTCGTTACTGCATCCCTCACTATCCCAGTATCTCAACTATCTGATCTGGCAACACCACCTCCAGCGTAGGACGCTGGCAGATAGGTATGACTGAGCAGTGCTGAGATGAGAACACAAAATACCTCACCCACACATGGCCATCACAGCCCCAGTTCGCATTGATCGACTCCCCAGTTCGACCAAACTTCCTACACTGAGCTATGGACCTACGCAATTACCAGCACACTGCCTCGGTCTCAACTTTGTCTCCCCCTGGTGGACCGAAATGCAGAGCTGGTGGGCTCGATAAGGGGATCAGAGACGACATGATCAAGTGTTGTCACAGTGGCGTTGAAATAGGGTGAGTGGCACGGATGTCTTGTGGGAGTTGTCCTGCTGTGATGGCTGTCGTGGAAGGTTGACATGGGAACGCATGGAGGTGGACTTGTGGTGAGGCTGAAGGGCTACGCGGAACCTTGGTTGTCCGTTTGGCCTGTAGTTTAGGTGAGTGATCCACTTGTGAGCTTCAGCACAAAAGCCTTGGCTTGGTGCTCGACTGCTGAATGGTGACATTAGCCTGCTTTTCAGTTACCTATGCCTTCCCTGCTCGTTTGTTAATATTATGATAACTTGTGCCTGCCTCTGGTCTGTGATACCCATATTCATCAAGTTTATTTCCAAATTAGATGTTCTGTAGCCCTCAGATTCAGTTATTTGAACAATGTTTAGGAGCTAGAAAGCCGCAAGGGCTACAGCTTTTGCATGAGATTCGCAAAATACCAAATTTTGAATTCAATTAGAAACCAAAATTTGGCAATACCTATGAGGATCGTCAGAATACTATAGTTTACCTAAAGTACGCACCTTTACGTGATTTGAAATTAAAAGGCCTATAAGACTAGAGGTGTCTATTGGATTTTATAGATAGCAGCCATCGAAACACTTTTCTTCTCAAACAGCCATACTGTTTCCAAGTCTACTAAAGAACAATGAGGAATAAGGTCATTAGGGCAGATGGTTTCAAGATCAAGAGGAGGAGTTGAAATGGGTTGTATAAATTGCAACGCTACTACTGCCTGCAGTGGAAGAGCAAATAAAGCTTTCAGTAACGACAATAAGCAGACAAAACTTCGCGCAGAGAATCCAGTTTATTATAAATAATGTCCTATAATGTAAACGTTGTTCAAAACTGTTGTTAGAGCATACAGGCTTAATCTTGAAAGGGTTAACTTGCTGCCATCGTACCATGAATGACTCCCGCGCGGTTAATTTAATTACATAGTGACAGGCACAAGCCATGCGAGCCTACAGCTGCGAGGGGAGCATGACAACTCATGATGCTCATGTGTGGCAAGACATGGTTTGATGTGGGCAGCTATCCGTTTAAGTGAAAAGGATAGTATTTTAATTGCGATTATGTTTACATTTACACTAGACCCGCCTAACATTAAAAGTTTAATTCAAAATATCGCCAGCACAAAGAGTAGGCTGAATGAACAAAGGCTTATTACTTGAAACAATGCTAAGGTGAAGGCGATTTGTGGGGGCTATTCGACCCGATGTATGACTCACAATTGTTGAGGCAAGTGGTTCACATATTAAACACCTAAAACTTCTGCAAGTTATTAGATTAAAGTTAATGGCTTGGTTAAGCGGTTTGCACCAAAGAGCAAAACTGCGTAAGATCGTATTATAATCTGATGTAGAAGCTACGGTTTCTATGTTGCTAACTCTTACAGAGAAAGTTTTAATTTTCCACCTAAGCGATATTAAACCCGAAAGGGTATATGACAAAAACATTGTGCTTACAGGATTTCAAAATTGATTGTGTAATTGATAAATGCATTCGGCTTAGTACGAGATGGGATTCGAATGCTAATTGTAAGGCCATGAGTGCTTAAAATGATGGTTTATAGATGCGATGGAAATAAGATGTAACTAGTAGATTACAGAATAATTTGGAGAAGATGTGTTTGCCGTTATTTTGAAAAAGGGCAAGCGCTTACCATGAGTGATCTCCGTGAGCATGTTCGGAATGCCGGTGATCTTTATGGTGAAATTGACGACTCGGATTGTGTTGATTCTGCTGAGAAGTTTATATAGTATTAGGCAACGACAGTATATCTACTAATTATTGTACAGTAAAAATAATTTACTCTCTTTTTGGTGTAACTAGTAGAAGTAGTGCTTCCGGTGGAGAAAGGGCCCCCATGAGCATTTTCCTCGCAGGTATCACAGCCTATAATTACCAGGAAAGGCACGAGTAAATAAAATGAAATTGCAAGGTTTAGCCGACAAAATGTTGCAGCGTTATGCAATTTTTAATGTGTCTTTTTCATTAATGACTGATCGGAGCGTGTGAATATCACATTCAAGGTGGTTTGGAGGGCAAAAGCTACGAAAATTAAAAATTTATGAACACTTTGTAGTAATGGCATCAAAAATAAACACGCCTTTGCATTCCAATACCGGCAAAATCCAAATTTTGGCAAGTGATTTACATGGGTTGAACCAAAAATATTATTAGCTAGTTCCCCTATTCTTTTTTGATGCTGTCAAACTACCTCATTTCATACGTTTCGAGCTTAATTTATTCGCTATTTAAAGAAATCGGTATCAGTTTGAAGTGAGCGCGAACCTAGTCTATTTAAGTTTTTAGGGTAACATTGGTGGGCAGTCAGTGTTGCAGAGTCCCAAACGAAACCAGAGTAGTACTATTGTCAAAAGTTCATTAGAAGCAATACAGGCAAATAATTCAAATCGTTGAGAGTTCAGATAACCTAAATCACTTAGTCAACACTTAAGTCAACACCTCTAGTCAAACGCTGCATGACGTTTAGCTGATATACCACTGCAAGCGCAAACCCTCGAAATGGTAAAACAGACCTTTGAGTAAGTGGACAACAGAACTACTTGCAATCATGAAAGAGCACTATTTTAGGCACTGCTAGCGGGAAACAAATGAGAATGCATTTGAAGTCGTCATTGGTGTTTGCATTATCAAGAACACTTTTGAAAGTCTAGTCAATTCATCATTCGCTACGAATTGCAACTTACTAGAGATTGATGAGCTGTTGGACCATATTTTTGCAATTAGGGGGCTTTAATTTGCTGTCCAAGCCTCTACCAAGTACTGATACGGGTGAAAATTTTTTAACATAAAAACTACACACATCCGAAGCAATAAGAATAGAAGGTTTTCACAAAATTGCAAAGCCCCTTAAGTAGAAAAGATTAGAAGTTTCGTCCTTCAAGACCACTTGGTTACGCCTACTAATACTGACTCACCACCCAAAAGTGAGTGAGAATACAGGTAAATAGGCACAGAGGGTGGCGTCTTCAAGGCACTGTTAACGTGCCCATACCCTCATAAACTCGCTTGTTAAATTATCCAATGGCAAACTCAGCTTGCTCGTGTGCGGAATGAGCAAAAATTGGGAGAGCCAATCAGGATACGAGATCGATCCAATAGGTGAATTTGTGAGCTGGGGTGTGTACGCGATGTGATTGATATGCTTCACCATCATCTGCGTCATCTATTTTGAATGGATGGTATCACGATAAGTCACTTTATCTCTCCTGTTCTGACGAGTACACTCGGCAGTAAGGTTGTTATCATTGAAACAGTAAAACCGACTTCTTTTCCATACTGTTATAAGTCGGCGTTCACCCTAGTTATTCTGATTTTATACCTTTATTGTTACTACCGGCCGTAACTAGATGACCACAGCATACTATAAGCGATCACCCCAGAACTTTTTCGAAAGCGTTTATAAAAAATAAATAATGGGGAATTTTGTCTTCATACTGAGCACGCATGAGTAGACGGGATTTTGTCTTCCACCCATCCCTGTCCTTCGAAAACATTGGCATTTGTATCCGATTTCCATCTGGCAAGATGTACAAGTCATGTGAATCTCTTTGCTTAGGACAAGTGGCTTTCTTCTATCAAAATGGGCGTGAAAAGTCAAGAGGAATCAGCGATGGAAGGGAGGATGGAACTCATCCTATAAAAGCAGTTTGCAATGCCCAAACTTTCTTAAATGTGAATGCGACTAATAAAAAGTCGTTGCATTGTGAGCAAAGGATTGATAAATGGCGCGTGTAGAAGTGAGTTGTCTAAGTTAGCAAAAAAATGTGTGTGCGTTGAAAAATAGGCCTTCTCAAAACTTTAAATCTACAGTCAATTCCACTATCACGTGTCGCAGTTTAATCAAGGAGCAGAACTAAGAGAAGTTGTCATTCTCGCAAATACCGGCGAGCATTAATCGGAATCACTGCAAGTAGCAATTTGGCGTGACTACAATTTCAAGAGAAGTTAACTCCATCGTCTAATCGTCATC